CATATCCAAATTTTCAAAGCACTGTTCACAAAACTTATTCTCGCGCACAAACCCGTGGCCACTTTGTACAGAAAATCAAGATACTACTTTATGTACCCAACATGTTAAGTGTTTTACCAAAAGGCAGCTCTCGACAGGACGTTCATATCTTGACAAATTGAAATCAAACTTAACTTCCAGTTGACGGTACAGTGCATAACAGACGTAAACCACAGCCAATTCAGTGTTTACAACACTTACTACACTCATGCATGAGACTATCCCTTTGACAGTCTGTCTGCATGCTTTTCGTGTCTATGTTGTCAGAAAAAGAAGTACATATTCCTCTGACAAAAGCAAAGTACAGTCATTTCCTATGAAGAACCTCAGAAAGACTTTTACAAGACTGTTAAACTAGAAAAACCAAATCCCTACTGTATTCTACCCTCCCCAAGGTACCCTTACGCCTAGAATATACTAGAAATAGTAGGACCACCAAGTGCAACAAAAAGAATGACACAAAAAACACTGTGAAAAACCTTAAAACTAAGAAAATCCAACAATTGCAGTGTTCGCTGGAGGTATAATAGCCCTTCCGACCGAAAGAGATGCAATGAAAGACGTTCAAGCCAGTAGATGGAGTGTCGCTGCCGATGAGAAACAAGCCGACTTATTACAAAGCCTAGCAGCTTCTCAACAGTACATGATTGGAACCGGGTTTGTTTCCGCCAGTGTAAAAGAAACTTCCGAATTTCATCATCCTTCCATGTCATTTCAGTAACATACAAGTAATTCAACACACACTGCACTGAGATAATACAGACTTAATTGCAGTGTCCTCGGCAGAACGATATCTGTTGGGGGTGGAACTAAGCAAAGCGGGCCACCGAGTATTGGACAGACTGCTGCTTCAACACTTCTCCAACAAGCAAATCCGAGGAGGTATACACCATACTAAATGCAATCTCAGGTCGTATTAACCTGCACCATACCTGTGCTTGGCACATTGTAAATATCTTCCTAATAAATAAAAAAGAGATCTGACCCATGACTCCTCACAAAGTAGCAAAAAAAAAAAACCAGGAATACAATTCTTCGATATTAGAAGACCTATCTCGAAAACGGAGTGCATAACTGGAAGTGAGACAAATCAACTAAATTTCGTTTAATGCTTGTAGGCCAGGTGAAAGAACGACTTAACTAAGTAAGAAGCAACAAATGACCAAATTAATACATTCCAAACTCAACATCTTTTCGAGACATCAAAAAGAGTACAAATAAATCCCAACGGGTTATGCTTCCGAGGTCTTTGACACGTGTCACTGTGTGAACAACTTATAAATGACTTGATTTATTCACTTGTACATTGGTTTAGAAAACTATTAATTCATTATTTATTGGACGCGTTTTTCTACTTCGAACAGAAAACGCACAAAAGAAAAAACTGCCCGCTTTTTCATCACATGTTATACTAACGAAAGAATAAAGATTAAAATAATTTGTCATTCAGAACAAACCTGAAGTTGCTGTTTCTTACGATGAGGTTAAGGAACGTCAAACAACCCAAGTCTTAAAAACTAGAACTGACCATTACTTTTAAAATTAGGTAAATCAATACACACGAACTTCTTCGGACGAAATCTTAGATAATGTCTCGATCTCAGAATTTCCGTATAGACCTAACAAACAGGCTTACGTCCTCATTAACTTCATTAAAATGTTACCCAGCTTCTACAAATCTACATCACTTCAGAAAGCTAACAAATTAACTAATATTTTCGATCAAAATACAAAAAGTTTGGAGCGTTTCTGATGAGAGGGAGTCGAATTAGAATAAAATAATGTACTATAACCACTACACATGAGCAAAAAGTCTCTCATCATTCAGGAACGTGAGCAAAAGTAGTGAACAAAAAAGACTCTCGCTTTGTAAATTAAGATGTCTTTGCTGGCCGAACATAATACCACTGAAATCATAATTCACAAAATCAACCGAGAGTATTGCAGTACAGTTTGCAGTCTAACATTCCATTCTTTACTTTCAGCCCTAATTTCTCCAACCACTGGCATAAATCGTTGTTACTCATCGAAAGCTTCTTCATTAAAGCACTTACCGAAATAGTGGGTCGATACCTAAATTAAAAATTCAATGGCAAACAAAACACAGTACTTTGTCTTCCTGAAACAGAATACAGGAAAGAACTGCATTAGTATTAACGTTTCTGAAGTAATTTTGATGGAACTAACGCTTTTAAACATGCTGTTAAAGCTGCTTTCCGCTCCCGTTCCATAAACAGGTCCATGACATACGAAGCCATACGAGGAGCTTTTTCATACAGTTTAAAAAGGCGAACGTAGTTGGAAAGTGCCCAGGCTTCACGTACTTGCAAAGTATACGCCACACAAGCATCCCGTCGCGCTTCTTCCTTCAATTCATGAAGTAAAGTGATCTGATCTGAAAATTACACGGCATTTACTAGATTCACTTTAAAAAGCTTACTAAAAAGATGTACCCTTGGCAAAAAGAAAGAAATCAATACCATCCTAAATAAACAACGACAATCGAAAAGCAAACAGACAAACGAATATATTAAACTGAAAAAACAAAAATAAACCCAAACAAACCAATTGTGTTAGCGGCAGCAATGTAATACAAAAGACGATATGCAGTAAATTCGAATTCATTTGGGCAGTTTGGAACCTCCGAATATAACAATTTCAACTGGCTCTGGCACTGATTGAACTCTTCTCGGTCGGCACGTTCCAGTGCAATTCTTGCGTTAGTTTCATAAACAGAAACGGTAAAATCCGTTCGAATACACTGTATCTGGAAATAAAAATAACTTCGGAAACTACCGCTCTATCTAACAAAACAAACTGTATTACTGTTAAAAAAGCCACACTGGACTAAGCATTTACTCATATCCACCCCTAATACGCAACAATCAAAACAAATGTCCTACTCTAGCTTCTGTAAGTCCTCATTTAAAACAAGATGCGAATGGCAGCAGCATTGAATCTTCAAGACACTAAAATTTTGGAACTAAGACTTTTTATTGTTATGAATATTTCAAAGAAAGCCACGGTTAACATTACCAGTGTGATTAGTATACCATTCCCAACAAATTTCATGTCCATCATTTCCTTCTAATAAGAAAAACAGAGGTTTTCAACTCAAAAAGCACAATTAAACACGTTCTTCAATAACCCCATTTCCTGTTACTAGTGATTTTCGATCCTAATACTTTAAAAGGTAACATAAAGATAAAAAACGCGGCATTTTAAAAATCTATCTAAACAAACCATATAAAAAAACATCTTTTACTCTGTTGGTATAGTAAAGCAGTCCTGCAGCTTACCATGAGATCTTGACGAATACTTTTCAGCTGATCGTTGGCGTAAAGATAATCACCATTTTCAGAATATTTCCGCTGAACCAATTTCAAGGCGCGCTCTAATATATAAAGTGGCCTGATTGCACTTGGATCAGGAGCCTGCAGAGAGAATAACAATATACATATATAAAAAATTATGTGATTCTTTAACAATCATCATATATACAAAAAAACATTTAGGTGAGAAAAACAATGTGATAAATCAAATACACTGAAGAGGTTAAAATTTTAAAAACTGAGAGGAAAATCATTAGCCACAGAAGATCTTCAAGCTCGAGGTGAATGAAAACTCAGTGATCAATCGAACATCCATACAATAAAGAAATAATGACCGTTGTCAGCCGGAAGAAAGGTTTTTCAATTTCTGTTGAAGTCCCAACAATAACTTCAGGGCTCTCTATACTACTAGAAGCCTGTTCAAGCTTCCTCCTCATTTCTTTCTGTCTCGCAGAATGAGTTGCGTCTTCATTACGTGCAAATCGACGAGCCCTCTCTTCACGTCGAGAATCACTTCGAGCGTCCGCAGTCCACTTGTTTTTATTGCTCACCTTTTTCCGTTTCTTTAGTTTCTTTGCCTCTTTATGTGAGAGCTAAAAGAAGATTATATCAAATGATTTAAACATACAAGCATCAATAGTAACGATGTTGAAAATTATTAAGAACGTATTTCAAATGACAGAAACTTGAAAGAATTAATGACCTTAGATGTGCTTGCTTCATCCGACGACGATGAACGTTCAGATGATTTATGCCTGCTGGATGATCTCGCATGACGCTTTTTTTCTTTTTTTCGCGACGGCGGTGACACAACAGCAGAACCATAACCATTCTTAAATGGGCTGTGCCAACTTCCAATGGTGACTTCTCGAGCAGATGCTTGGGCAGCCTTACGCAACTCGTTTGCTGGAGTCCAGTCGCATTTAAATTCAAAATTTATCTCAGACGGTAGAGGTTCCTAAAAACAAGGCATCGTTAGTATTGTAGCAATACAATAGTTTTCCTACAGCCACAAACTTGGTCGCGACTTTGGTCAAAACAACTTACACTAGGGCAATTTATATCGGCAAAACCTTACAAAAATTAAGCAACTTATCCAATAAATAAACTAGTACTTTGTCCCAGTCAACTGTTTTCGCTGCTCCCGATGCAAGTAGAGGATGCAGTTTCATTTTAAGGTATTCTTCCAACTTATTTCTGTCTTCCTTTTTTTCCAATGCCAGATACGCCCGTTCCACATACCTCCTAGATTATCCAATCATTAGATACTGCGCCTCACGATTCCCTAGCAGTACAACACAAAACACGTCACAATAGTATCAGCAAATTGTCCCCACTTTTGCCGTCTCAAGGGCCCTCTGTTCAAACCAGCTGATACTTCCCAAAGGGACACTGCACAGTTCCAAATTCTACAATTCCAGGATTTTCAACAATGTAACCCTTGCAAGTTCAAGCATCCAGTTTGCAAGAGAGGAATTTTACCTGGGAAGGTGACCTCACACCAAGCCAAAACTACTCAGAAGGTGAAAATTATCCCAACTTTTGGCAAACCAGCAAAGCCTTCACATATTTACGAAGTGTAACAGAAAAAAAAAAAACAAATTTTCCTTGTTAATTCCTCTCCTTGTAAGTCGAGTCAGTACGTTCACCAAAAACCTAAGTTTGAGGACAGTCTCAGGAGTCCAATCCCAAGTGTCAATCTCAATGTGGGATGACTAGCGTGTAAAAAAGTCCCCCATCCAAATCACATTTTTATCCCAATATTAACTAAAGCGAATTGCCTTCCCGATCAGGTCGTCATAAAAATCGGCAGCCAGAACAGGTAGTGCGCCCCAGCGGCAATTGTGAGCAATTTGTCGTGAATAAGATTCGTTAGAGGAAGTAATACAAACTAAGGTAATTGAGTCTACTAATAAAAAATTTTCTCTAAATAATTAAAAACCAACCGGACATTGTCTGGAATAGTTGCTTTTTGCAAAACATTTCCGCTTAAAGCATTCGTAGAAGAAACCGTAGATGGACGACCAATATTGAAACGTATTGGAGCACTGTCCCCTAGAGACCCGCGATTTAAAAAATTATTTTTCGCATTGTGTTGAGGAAAAGATTGCCTTACTGGAGGTCTCGGTGGCTGATCAAATGACGATGAAGTAGGAATGTTTGTCGCAGGACGAGCAGGTGATGAATTTGGGAGACGGCTTACTTGGGAAGGTAGACTAGTAGGACGGAAGCCACTCGGTGGTGGAGGGGGACGCGGCGGTCTCATGGGTCTTCCATAAAAAAAATAGGGGTTCATGAAGCTGCCGGGCTGTTCTGCAGAAGGCTGAAACTGTTGAGGGGGCGCATATGGCATTGCGTAGGGTGAGCGGGCCATCCAAGGATAATATTGCATCATATAAGCTTGCATATCCTGGTAACACTGGGTATCATTTGTAGGATATGCTGGCATACTGTGATTGAAGGAAGGAGCATTTGGAGCAATTTTTTTGAGGGCTGCTTGAGCCCTTTCCCAAGCGTCATTTTGAGACGTTGTTCCGCCCGCATTAGTTGAAGCATTATCAGGATCTGATGGCATTGGTATATTAGCAGTCCCAGCATCATCATCACAGCCACTACAAACAACCGCATATATGGGACACCAAAATCACTACTGGTTAACGTTGGATAGAGCTGATAAGACGGTTATGTTTAAATGTCAATGCGAAGTAAAACGTATTAATAAACTTTTATTGATTCCATTTTAACGGCCCTAGTATCTTTTTTTAAAAGTCATAATTCCAAATAACATAGTTAAGAGAATTAAAGAACGGGAACCAACCTGGAACTTTCTAATTGTGCATTAATGAGCCCTGGCCCAGGCACACCATCTTCTCCCATTCTTTTTAACTTTCACTTCGACAATATTTGCCAGTATAAATTGAGAGGGAAAATTTTTGTGATAAAATAAAATAAAATTACTAAAAAAATTTTGAATGTTAAAACGGCAAAATTTAAAATGAAGAGTACTTTTTACACGTGTACTTCAAGGTGGAGTAGCATTGGTAATGTTAACTCGAAATTGAAGGCGATGACATCTATGGTGGGACGCAAAAATTAACAAAGTCCCAAGAATCGGGGCTAGGGTATTTGGAGAAACCTGAAAAGCAAAAAAATGAAAAGGTTGAACAAAATTCTGCGTCAGTCACTGCGATGTTCTGCCACATTATTACGAAGATCACACATAAACTATCATGACAATATGAATCTTACCTCTTCAACAATAAAATTGCGAAAGAACTTGCACAGAGACTTTTGGCTACCGAAAAACAGTGTAGACCACATCATTTCTGTCGCAAAAAGAAAAAAAAAAAAAAAAAAA